AAATCGGTGCCCTTATGCATAAATTGTTTGCGTAAGGGACATACGGTTTCCAAATGCAGAGCGGATCAATGTCGTGTGTGCAATCGCCTCCATCATACGTTACTTCACCAGTATCCCGTTCCCTTTGCTGCTGAATCTCATCCGCAACCAAGAACAACTACACATGCATTGCATACATCGAGTATGCCAGATTGCGTAATGTTGGCAACAGCAGTTATTCTTGTGAGGAGAGTATCTGCCTGCAAGAGCCTTACTGGACTCAGGATCACAAGTCAGTTTTTGAATTTGGCCCAGAAACTGCGGATTCGTCGCCAAAACAAGACCTTAAATATTATAGGAAATGGAAATTCCAGTACGAAGCTTGGGACCACATTAAGCGCGTTTATTAAGTCGCGGGTTAATAATTATAAATTTTCGCCGRAATTCTGAATTATGCGATGTATTTCGGCTAATCATCCAGATCATAGCATTAATGTTATTGGTTGGAAAATTCCGCACAATATTGAATTGGCGGATCCAGAATTCCACAGATCCCAAAAGCTTGACATCTTAATGGGTGCAGGAACCTTTTACGATCTGCTAGCCGTTGGACGAACTAAAATTGTCCCTAATCAACCAACGCTATAGAAAACTCTTTTGGGATGGATTGTGTCTGGCAAATATGTCGGCAATCTTAGTCGTCCTCCTGAAGCAACTAGCACATTATGCCAAACTGAAGACGACTTAACGTCCATAGATTCAGTAGTCCAAAAATTCTTGGCTATGGAGGAACTTCCTTCAAAAACAAATGGCTACAAGTTCATACCAGAACAAAAAGAGTGTGAACAGTTTTTCGTTAACACAACTGACGTATTGCCTTCGGGACGGCTTCAAGTCAGAATGCCCTTTAAATCTGAGTGTAAGTTACTCGGTCACTGCTATCAAACCGCAGTTCAGCGGTTTCAGGCCCTGGAGAGGAGAACATTGAAAGATCCAGAACTTCGTAGAATGTATCTGGACTTCATGAATGAATATAAAGCACTGGGTCACATGAGCCCAACAAACAATAAGATCCCGAGTGAGCCACACTACTTCATTCCGCATCAACGCGTGTTAAGTCCTGAGAGCACAACAACCAAATTACGTGTTGCCTTTGATGCTTCGAGTCAATCTTCAACTCAAATAGCATTGAATGAACTTTTGATGGTAGGTCCAACCATCTACTAATGCACTAATAGCGGATTTTATTAAAATGTATCGCTAAATAATTATGCATGAAGAAGACAGAAATTGTCATCTTATTGTGTGGAGAGAGCATCCTTCAGAGCAAATACAAATTTTTCGACTTAACACCGTAACTTGCGGCACTGCGCCTGCTCCATTTCTCGCAACACGGTGTTTCCAAATGCTCAGCGATGCCAATACAATTAAATATCCACTCGGTTCACTGGCTATTAAAAGAGACTCTTATGTTGAAGTTTTATTAACAGGATCCGAAAATTTCGAGCCTCTAGATCTTTTGAGAAGTGAGGTAATTAAAATATCAAACTCGGCCGGATTCACCTTAGCGAAATGGTTTTYGAACCACCTTAAATTTTTTGACAGTAATTGCACTGAAAAGTCATTAAGCTTCAATGACAAACATTCTGCTAAAGCGTGGGAATCCATTGGTTGCCGAATGAGGATTTGTTTCGATTTGTCCTAGATGAAAATTTTAATGATTTGCGAGCCACTAAACGAAACATTTCATTAGTTTCTGCTCGCGTTTTCGATCCTCTTGGATTATTAGCCCCACTAGTAACCAAACCAAAAATCTTATTACAAGAGCTTTAGATTCAAAAACTAGATGGTTAATTTCATTGCGCCTCGACACTAGCTGGCAGAATTTCAAAGCCAATCTAATGCAGCTTTCAACAATTAGCATTCCTCGTAAACGTAGAGTCGAGTGCCACCTGCCAAATACATGGCTTCTCCGACGCTTCAATAAGAGCGTACGGATGCTGCATATATGTATATACGAAGCCAAACTGCTAGTGGTATTAAATGTATGCTGCTTACTGAAAAGTCTAGAGTGGCTCCGCTGAAGACCAAATCTCTTACGCGTCTTGAGCTCTCGGTAGCACATCTTCTTTCAAAATTATGGTCAAGAGTTGCGCCTATGTTGCATCGACATTTCGAAAAAATTACATTTTGGACAGACTCTGAAATTGTTTTACATYGGATAAGAACAGGAAGGATATGTTACATTACAAACCTTCGTCGCAAATAGTGTGTCCGAAATCCAAGAGTTGACTGATAAAGTGCATTGGCGGCATGTGCCAACAAAACAAAATCCTGCGGATCAAGTGTATCGGGGTTGTAACGTGGACGTATTAAATAATTCTAAATGCTTTGGTGGTCCACAGTTCCTCCTAGAAGATCCTGCATTATGACCAATTAAAACCCACTTCCAGCTCTCACCAGAGGACGAAGCATTAGAGAAGAAGAAAAATGCATTTACATTAATTTCGACCACTGAGAAAAATCCAATATTGGACCTCATTGAAAAATTCTCTTTTCATAGAAAATTGCTTCGTGTGGTCGCATATTTACTACGATCGGACGACCAAAAATGACTACGGAGGGTAGGGATCTGACATGTAACGAATTACAAGTTTTTGAAAATTGTTCAAGTGATTCAACATACGGAATTTGCGAATCAAATCCAAAAACTGACTAAGGGCACCACGCTACCGGCAAACTTGCAAAAACTAAATCCGTTCTTGCATGAGTACTCGGATATTTCGCTTTCATTCAAATTAATCCGGGTAGGAGGTCGCCTTTTAAATGCACTTCGTTACGACTTACTTACGGTTCCTGCACATTCGAAATCACCATGCTGTAGCAAAAGCATTGGTTGCGCTTCTTTGAGAACGCATATGGCTGATTAATGCAAGAGAAACATGCAGTAGAACCGTAAGAAACTGCACACACTGCTTTCATTACAAGCCGAAGCTGCAAATTCAAGTAATGGGAAACTTGCCATCGGAAAGACTGCGAGCGCTACGACCCTTCCTTATATGTGGCGTAGATTTTTGTGGTCCAATATGAAAAATACGTGTTCAACCACCCGTGAAAACTTATATTGCTGTTTTTGTGTGCTTTACTTCGAAAGCAGTACACTTTGAATTAGTTTCTGATTGTTCGACTAATACATTTATTTTTGCCCTAAAAAGGTTCATTGGTCGCCGGGGGATTCCGCAGAAAATATACAGCGACAACGCAACCAATTTCGTCGACGCCGACCGCAAGCTACGAGAGCTGAAAGATACATTTCTAGCTCAGTCAACGAAAGTGAAGGGATTCGCCGCAGAAGAAGGACTCAGCTTCACCTTTATACCACCCAAGGCGCCGCACTTCGGCGGATTATGGCAGGCCGCGGTGAAATCCGCCAAACACTTGGTAGTTCGCACACTCGGCAACGCTCTTCTCACCGCAGAAGAGCTGTCAACAGTACTAGCCGAAGTGGAAGCCATTCTCAACTCGCGCCCACTAGCACCGTTGAGCCAGGTCCCCAACGATGGAGAAGCACTAACTCCAGCACATCTCCTGATCGGTTGCCCTCTATGAGCACTGCCACCACCACAAGTGCCAGCGGGCATARTTCGTTGTTGCGAGAGATGGCAACTAGTTTGCTGTCTCAAGCAACAATTTTTTCAGCACTGGTCCAAAACGTATCTCACGAGCCTTCAGGAGCGCAACAAATGTCTACATCCGGAGCGGAATCTGCAGGCCGGCAACCTCGTTGTCGTACACAAAGACAACACACCACCGCAGCAGTGGGTACGACGGCTCGCCGCAACCGTAGCAGTGCAAGACGGTAAGGTGCGAGTGGCAGACATGGCAACGAAATCAGGCACAATCAGGCGGCCCATTAATAAGCTCGCCCTGTTACCCATCAACATTGAAGGATCATGATCCTGTCATGGTGGCCGGTGTTACATCAAGCGACATCCTTTAAACAWAAATATTACCTCTTTTTAAATATTATATTAAACTAATATAAATGAATTAATTTTATATTAAATATTGAATTAAAATGTTAAAGTTTATTTTATATAAAGCAGTAACCCTAATAGTGTTGTTTTATATACTCACCATAATTGTCTAGCATAATGTAAAGAAATTAATTCTACTTACCCCTTTTTTGTAAATACATACTTACGCGTCCCGTTAGTTTAAGCCGTTAAATTAAAGTTTAGGCTAAGTCATAAAATTCCTCGMATAAAGAATTCAATTGTGTAAGAAGAACATTCGCAAGCGGTCGTTTATTTAATTTTTCGGTACAGGCAATTTTTCACGCATTCCCAGTTGACTAACTTGTCTCAAAAAAGCTTGAGATTTTTCAATGAGGATGATGAGACGAATTGAAATACGAGTAACTGTCTGTCTGTTTAAGCGGAAACTTGAATAAAAAATTAGAAATCGTAATGAAACTTGGAACGCGGGTTCCTTGGAAAAAAGAAAGGACGAGTTCGTATGTGGGCGTAGTGTTATAACTGACACTCAACCAATACGTCATTATACGGAAACTTATAAATGTTCTAAGTAAGCACTACATTCAGATATATAGTAGATATGTAATTTGGCACAGGAAATCGCAGTAGCAACGAACACCTGTGGGTTAAAAATTAAAAAAAAAAAATCAAGATACCCCGCCCTTGAAAAGGTTTAAATTACATGTAGTATTTCACGGACCATGCAAGCTAAAACAACCAAACAGAGCAATTTCCTTAAGCACCCGTAAATACACTGTAAAAATGGATGAGCTCGGATCATAACCCCGCCCATTCATAAAAACTACTAAAAGCGCGATAAATCAGTAACCAAATAAAATGCAATTTATTCATGTGAGATTATAAAATGAATATTGTATTTCCACAAACATATGTACATGACTTGTTTAATATAAAGTTCTATCGAAACCCTAACTTAGATCTTCCTTATTTCTTTTAATATATATTTTCTTTACGTTTTTACAGTGTACGTTAAAGGGACTGAAAGTCTAGAAATTCAAATTAGCTCTAGCTAAAACCTTTGGAAACATGGATCTTACTAAATTCCTTGCTGTATTTGTATGCATTATTTCCCACAACAATTGCGATGCTCGTGTTCAAATGAACCAACTCTCAGAAGAGGAGAATAATTTGATTGAGGAAATTGATGAAGGAAAAAAAGGCTTGCTGATGATACCAAAGAGWCATACACTCGTCGTACGCCTTCCATTGCACACTTTGCTTAAATATACGGCTTACAAGGATATTTCCATATTACATTTTAAGGTTCCTGCTGACACCCGTGCTGCTTTTTTCGCATTCAAGGCGTATGAAGAAGGGAAAAGCGTATTTCGTAAGTTTAAAATTTTTGACAGATTGCGGTGCTAGATGTGTAAGGCTGCTCAAATGTCGACTATTTTTAATTTAATAAATATTACACCCTCTTTATCCTTCCGATATAAGATGATGGGAGAATCTCAGATGGCCAATATTCTGAACCCTCAGATCGTAGTTTTGCCTGATTGAGTCGGATGAACGCTAAACGTTCAGTCTAGACTTTGGCATACATTTCGACAGCGCATTGCTGGAATAGCCGTCTTCACTTCAGAATCACATTCTCCTCATGTGTGCGAAACATCATACGATACGCATAGTAATTCGTTGTAACGCCTGAAAATGCTGAATTAAATTAATTGTTTATGGAAACCAATAATAGCAAAAATTATTGTGTGAATATTGTACCTGTAAATGGATCGACCATCTTCAACGTGACGTCGTATCCGTCTTGTCCTTGCCAATAAATGATTGCATATTGTAACGCATCGTACAAACTATGTGTCTCGTTTCAACGATGTCTCGCAATTTAGTTGGATCGCCAACAATAATTGCAGCAACATCATTAACGGTGGATGCATTGAATCTTCGCACATGTTCACCTGTTGGGGTACAATCCTCTCTTATGACAAATTTGTGCGTATCCAATGGCATCCGTTCCAATGCTGTTTTGAACATATTAACTACAATTATTAGTGTGAAAAAATGCTTGCAACTGTTCAATAATTCAACTCTTTAACTGTTGTGTTTCCTGTGTATCGCACCGCACATTCAGCTGATCCACCATAGAGGAAATGGAATATATTTGCAGAAATTGATGCGGTTCATCTGGTGTTGGCACCGTTGAACCACGTAAATGATATATTTGTCTTTGTAACTGTAATTGCCAACAATCACTTGTTGAAGAATACGGTGTAACTCCGGATTGTGTGATGGTGTAGTGTGTGGTGTAGTGGTTAGGTGTTGCAATTCATTGTGTTGGTGTGAGTGATTGGTTATGTGTGTTGTATCCACACAAATCCACATAAATTGTACAGTTCAGCTTATCACCTTAAAGGCAAATGCCTGCTGTTGAAATTKAATAAAAATTTGCACAATGCRCGTGATTGATTTGAATAACTTATTTAAAAAATTTTCTTTTTTTCACAATTTCACAGTGAACCCAATACCGGTTTGTCACATGAAATCAACTGATCAGGGAACCATGAGTAGCTGTCAAACAATGTATCACACACCGGCGCCATCTACTTAGAATTTTGGTTTGTAGTACATGCTATGTATAAGAGATGGCGCTGTATGTAAACAAAATTTTCCAGCTTTTTTACTAAATTTTCTTTGCTATAAATCTCACGGAGCCCGAGACCTTTCCAATGAATGCAAAACCGTGGAAATCGGTTCTTGCGTTCTGTAGTCATAGTGTCAGGAAGGAAAACCCGACTTATTTTTATATAGTAGAAATAGTACAGAATTGTAGCTAATTAGTTAATAATGTGTGAAATCGATTCACAAATTTCCCCAGTTCACATTAGCAAAATAGCTATACTTTGTTCATAACTTTAAAATTTTTAATTTATTCTTCAAAATTTCCGGAATAACCTTTAGTGGACGTTGCGATTCAGGTTTAATGTCTTCAATTGACTGAAGACAGTTTCGTTTGAGTTTGCTGGTTAGCTAAAAGTCACACTCAAGCTCAATTACGCAAATACAGTGGTTGCGGTATGATACTTGTTAAAAATTTTGGCGAAAAACTCACGAAGAATCAATGCAGTATGCGGCGGTGCCTTATTGAAGTGCAAACATCAAATGGAGGGAACACTTCTCCAGCCTGCTGAATGGCATTTTAAGCATTACACCCGGAGATGGCGAACTCGATTTCTCAATCGATGGCGATAAAGCAGACGTAACCTTGCCCGACCATGAGAGGATCGACACACACTACCCCTTCGTCGATTTTAAAGCTTCTTTTCACAACACGAAAACGACATGCCTTTATGCACCTTTGTTTGAATTTGGTATCCCCGCAAAACTAATATGTTTGATATCAAATGAGGTTTCAGACAAGGCGACTCCCTATAACGAGGTTTTGGTTCAACATGCAGTGAATAGTTTCTGGGACATGTACTAACCGAAAAAACATATGGTTGAATTCAAAGTGATTATGAGATGTCAAGAAGGCGGTATATTTTTAATACGCTTTTATTAGCTTCACTTGTATGTA